TACGCTTCGTTTAACATTGTGATAATGAAGCAAAGCAAGTTTTCATCTGCTGAAATTAGATGGTTGGTGTTTTCATTTACCAGGTAAGCAAGGCAAAGGAGGGCCAGAAGAGCAATTTGTCTTTGCTTAACCTTGGCAAAATGAAGCAATGTTTTTTCGCTGTCAGCAAACAACTCACGATCTCTCAGCCGTCGGGAAATGTTATGCAAAATTCCAAGGCAGGCATCAATAAGTAGAAGCGGCTTCGATTCATCGTCTCCACTTTGCCAATTGTCATTTTCGCGATCGAGTCTTACAATGTTTTTAAGGCACATTGGGACTACTTCCGCTTGGGCACTTGCCGAACAAAAGCTGTCGTATAAGTCGGCAAAATTTTGTATCGTTGCTAGGACTAGATGGAGACAAGTAAAACAAATTTCCCTGTTATCATCTTCCTGTTCACCGCTCATCTTGTAGAAATCTTTGAAATAATTTTCAGCGAACCTTTGCAACAGCTCTGCTGCTTCGATTTCCATCATTAAGTCCACGACTCTCATTTTTTCACTAGCCACAGTCCCAGTTGAAGTTACGATGTCCCTGTGTATGGCTAGTAAGTTATGAATTGCCTTCGTCACATCCTTCGAATACCGATCACTTCTCGTTGAACTGTTGTTCATAGTGTTTTTTAGCACTTTGATGTTGTCAAACATTTTTTGAAAATCTTCTGCTTGCTCCGGGTAGTTCATCTGGTATTTCCTAAGCGTGCCTGTGTGTGACACATCCCATTCAACGTTTTGCTGAGAAGAACTCTCCTCGCTAGTCTCGTCTTCCCTGTCGTGACTTAATCGCTGCTCTTGGAGCATCTTTTGTAACACACCCCATTCAACGTCTTCTTGAGATGAAATCTCCTCGCTACTCTCGTCTTCCCTATCGTGACTTAACCACTGCTCTTGGAGCATCTTTGATTGAGTCGGGTATTCTGGATGGCTGGAAAATGGCGTCACGTTAACTTGCGGCTGTACGATTTGGAGGTGTCTTGATCCGCCAGAACCCATAGTGATGGTGCTACCAGGATCACTGATCGACCACACGAACGGTGTGACAAAACTAAACTAACACTGCAGCACGGCGTTGGCAGTAGCTTAAACTGGTGTGAGTACAGTGCGAGACGCTTTACCCTGAAAGGGAATGGGACGAGACATGTGATTCAAGCAGACTGTTTCTATTTTACGCCAGATTCGTTTGAGTCACCCTTTCCAAGAATAATTAAGCCTGACCATTTTTTAGGTATCAATATACCCCAAAATTGACCATAAAAAAAATTGTTGTTCGCTTTTTCAAATGGATCTTATTGCGATCTTTCATTTAAAAAGATTTCTACGGGAAAAGATTGATTCGAAACAAAGTTCTGAACGAAAAAGGTTTCTTTGCATTAATTACCTGTAATTGATAGCTGTCAACCTAACTCGGTAAATAGGCAACCTCGTCAACGGATTGTCACGAGAACTAAATATACTGGTAAGTGCCCCTATGATGAAATTCTCGATATCCAGTTTTTTACAGTTTCGTACACAATAGGTCTCTCCTCATTAAATATCTTGCCAAATTTCAATCTGTAACGAATATTAGAACGCATGTTTTTTGGACTCTTATTTCCGAGAATTTACGGCCGCCATTAATTTTCCTTGTTCCAAGTCAGGCGGAATCAAACAATTCACTATGTAAATTTGTAGGCGCTGATTCTTTTTGTGGACAAGAGCCCGCAGGCAGCCTTCTGTGTTGTTTATGTTTCGTGGCTTCCTTTCAAATGCATGTTGACTGCCAATTTTTCGATAACACACCAAGTTAAAGCACCGTCTGTAGATCAAGTATTCCATATGGCTGTAATTTCGACGTTACTTTGAGGTAGAGTACAGAAATTCCGGTCACTGATAGGGAAGACCACCACTGGTTTCTTTATAAGTGTTTCTATCTTTCGAGGAGAACTAATTCGTTAATGAAATATAAAATTAGACAAAGGTTACGTTCCTGTTAGGCTCCCACGCAGACGCTCTTACGGCCGGTGACGCGTTAAGAGCGCCTGCGTGGAATTCTACGTTCCTGTAGGATAATTGTGATTCTCAGAGTATAATGCATAGCACCAGGGATTCAGATTGCATTGTTTCACGGCGTAGTCACTAGGTTATTACGGTTTAAAGATCTTTGTTATGAGATCCTTATGTATAACACTATGTGGTCTTTACATGTCGCCTTTTGAGCAGGCAATGTCTGAAATCAACGATGCACGAGGGGCACCCTAAAGGGTGGACTGTAAATAAATGGAGGGATCTGAATCCCTGGTGCTATGCATTATGTGCAAAGAAACACAATTATCGTTGTTCATGTCATTACGTTCCTGGTGGAACAAAGGGCGGTACAGTTATCGCACAGGTAGGTAAACTTTTAAATTAATTTGCGTATAATGCTCCGGCTTGCAGGATTCAGACTGCACAATTCAAAGCAGACTCTCTCTCAGCGAAATAAAAGCACCGTCCAGACAATGGAATACTTTCACAGTGAGCGTCTTATAGCATCCGTCCTAACGTAATTATGTTATGACTATTGCAAAGTTGCAATATGGATTTCCGTTTTAGTAACGTTTTTCGTTAGGAGCCATGAAAAAAGTCATTTCTTGCATTAAAATGAATAAGTAAATAAATAAATAAAATAAATGGATAAATTAATAAATTAACAAATGAACATATTCATGCAGGATGACCATTTTAATTATAAAAACTGCTATCAACATGGGTCCTCCGTAGAATGAATGAATAGATAAATAAATAAATAAATAAATAAATAATTAATGATATAAAATATGCGAAAATTTGAAAAGCTATTTAAAAATCTAAAATATACATATAAAGAGAGATTAAAAAACTTGATCTAGATTCATATACAATTATTATAAATATCTGCCCCTTTATAAAAAAATGTCGGAGCCGTTCAGCAAAATAGACTTTGATCTTACAATATAATCCATTTTTTTAAAATAGTCGAATTCTTAGAGTAGAGAATTCTTTATATTGTTTCGTAATCTGAAAAGATTGTGGAGGAATTAAAGAATTCTCTACAAGCGCACTTAACCAGCTTTTCCTTCAGATATGTTCTTTACAGCATTAAAATAGAAATAGCTGAATCCAGAGTTTTGAACTTTTTTTAAGGAGGCTTAAGGAGGTTCAGAGCCACCTTAAATTTTTGAAAATTTAAGGTCGTTTTGAACCCACTGAACAGAATTTTTTATAACTTTGCCTAAAGTTGGATCCTCCAAATCAAAATTCTACAAAAACTGGGGTCACCAAGCTCGATTTTGAGTTATTAACATTTAAGCTAAAAGTGAGGGTGTTTTTAGAAGGTGATACTGTTGCTATGGTAACTTATTTTATCACGAAAATGATATTAAATTGTTCAGCAATGACTGGGCAGTCTTTAAATACCATGATTGTAGCATCAACTGATAAAAAGCGGTTACAATGACCCATCAAAATCTAAGTCTTGGTACGTCCTGGAAACTGTTGCAAGCCACCTTAAATCAAAAATATTTCATTCAAATTTATGTATTAAAAAGTGAGGGTCACCGTGCTCGTTTAACCCTTTGACGCCCAGGGAGCCATATACGGATACTTGATGGTCGTGCTCTTTGTACCACTTGTGACGTCATCAATTTAAATGTCACCAGATATTCTTGATAAGCAGATGGCAGAGCTAGGATAGATCTGTCCGCACAACAGTCGGTTTGAGATATCGACGGCATTCTGACGCAGCAAATTGAAAAAGAACGTTATCAGTTTTGGTGCAAAAATGGTGGTAAAATGGCCCATTATACCTATAATTGATCAAGGTCCCATTTCCAGGGTTTGTCCGTAATTAACACCCAACTTTTTACGGCAGCCCGAAAGAATATGAAACGCAAAAGGTAGCGAGAGTAACGGGGCCGAGAAAAAGGAAAGGGGCAGGAAAAAAATTCGGAACAGGCAATCGCAAAAAAAAAAGAGAAGTCCAAATTTTGGCTTATGCGCATGCGCCAAATTAAAATGATGTGCAGTTTTATACCTAATCTTGTGGAAATCTGCCTCTTTGGTAAAAAAAATAGCCTTTTTCAAGAAAACTAAGGCACAGTTAGCGTAATTTCAGCCAAAAAACTGGTTGACCTGAGTTAAAAACGGAACTTATTTTGTGACACTTTGGTAGTCAAAGGGTTGAGAGAAAACGAAAATATATTCTGCTGTCACCTGCTCTGCTACAGGGAAAGCTGTAGATGGTGTGTATGTGCACGTTCTTGTACGCGCGCGTTAATGACGTAAAAATCGTATACAGCAAGGATGTGAAATGCAATTCAGTGGAATCACTTAAGACTACATTGCAAGAGTGCACTGAGCAAACTGGCCTTTTTGTAACCAATGTAACGAAATATAGTTTTAATAATGCTGGTTTATCATCATATTATACAAGCCTAATTATACCTGCACAACGATTGTTTTGATTGTCAGCTTTCGTTGGGAAATTTTAGGGTCAGGTCAAACATCTAACTTCACCCGAGACGAACTAAATTGCCGATCCAAACGGGTGAAGCTGGACCGTTGGGTCAAACGTTGAACTTAATTCGAATTTAGATCGACCAACACGTTCTGTCCGTCTGCTTCAGACGAATAGAACATGTTGGGCGATCTAAATTCAGTGGGACGAACTCAGTTGAGTCAAACTTCGAACTTATCATGAGCTTAATTCGCTCAGTTTAGTTCGTCTCAAGTGAAGTTCGACGTTTGACGTGGGCCTCATTAGAGTCAGTTGTGCCTTGAAATGTATTTTGCTGAGTTAAATTATGAGATAAAAATATTATATGATATTTGATATGTCTTTTTGGTGGGATGGGGTGAGTGCTTTGAAAAACTTGAGGTATACTTGGGGTTGTTAGCTTACAGCTGTTTCTCCCCCTCCGGTTTCTCTTTGCCCCAGAGTACCCCCACTGGCACGGGTGTTGATTGTATACTATTTTAACGGCGGTTTCTTTGGGTTATGATAGCGACCAATATGATACGGAAGACTGCTAGAAATTACAAACGACATAGATATGCGTGATCAAATCCATATTATTCGAATAGCTAAGATAAATGTAAGTTGCTCGTTGGACACGTCAATGTTCATAGCTAATTGGTCAGAGTAAAAACCATTTGCGACTCAACGTTAACCTACAGTTTGCTATGTCGCTGTCCTTTTTATACATTGTTTGCGAGTGACTCCGCGGTGGTAGAAGAAACAACAAGTAATACTTGAAATCCTCATATTCTACTCCGCGTTTCTTGCATAGTCTCCAACACTCCTCGTCACGGGTCACGCAACGTTATGGTACACCCCAAAGAGAGCCGGGCTGCGAAAGATACTAACAAACTATCGACCCACCAAGCAGTTGGTCTCAGTTAATGACTTAGAAGTTTGTCGAGCTCTTTCCTGAACTTGAGAAGGTGAAACATGTTCTTCAAGTTTAGAGTGTGTTCTATACACTTGTAGAAATAGTCCGGACATTCTCCGCGGAGCTCTTGAAGATCAATCAGTGTTTGACCATTGAACTCGGAAATATCCTCTTTGCACACTTGTTCCAATCCAATCTCCGTCAGCCATTTTTTGACGTCTTGATTTGTCCATGTGGACACATTGGTCACTGACTGTGGGGGTGGTGCTGTGACAACACTTGCTTCAGTTAGTCGAATCAGTGCTTCTCCAGGCCCATCTGTCGTGTCAAGATCTTTTCCTCTCCCTCCTAACTCTTTGATAAGTTTTCCTATACCTGAATCAATAATCTGCTTACTCTGAAAGCCAATCCACAGCTTTGTTCCCACAAGCATTCCCAACCAGCCATCTGCCTTGTAATTGCGTTGCATCATCAAAGGAATGATATCTTTTCTCAGCTGATAAGCGTATTCAGCTTCTGATCGACAGTTAGGACTTTCTTTGTAGCGCTGTGACACGCAGACCAGTACAACAGCAGCGTTCTCGACAGCTTTGGCCATCGCTTCCAGTGTGGAGCCACCCATTTGCTCCAAATCCATCCATACTCGGTATCCACTCTTCTGAAGCTTGTTCTTCACTTCCACTAACAGCTCCTGAGCATCCCATTGGTAGCTGATCATCACGTGATTTCCAGTGGTCTCTTCAGTCTTGTCGGCGTTGTTCCTTGCCTTCTTTCCTTCAATCTCCCATAATGCCCCTGCGGCTGCCTTTTGTACTTCAGGGTTTGCACTGTGGTGTAACGCGCGTAATGTATCCAACGTTCCTTCGTGTTGTCTTATTTCATCTTTATTGGTGTCGTCGAAAGCTAACATCCAGAGAGCCCTTGCCCCGCTCGCTGTTTCCTCGTCATCGTTTGAAGTTTGGAGAATCGCAGTTAATACACGAATCGCTCCATTTTGGCCCAGAGTCTTCTTATTGTTATCGTTGATGGCAAGGTGACTCAGACCTTCTGCAAGTTCTTTTGCGGAATATCCATCGCATCTGCGGTCCTCAGACTGATACGCTTCGTTTAACATTGTGATAATAAAGCAAAGCAAGTTTTCATCTGCTGAAATTAGATGGTTGGTGTCTTCATTTACCAGGTAAGCAAGGCAAAGTAGGGCTGTAGCAGCAACTCCTGTGTTCTTAACCTTGGCAAAATAAAGCAATGTTTTCTCGCTGTCAGCAAACAACTCGCGATCTCTCAGCCGTCGCGAAATGTTATGCAAAATTCCAAGGCAGGTATCAATAAGCTGAAGCGGCTCCGATTCATCGTCTCCACTTTGCCAATTGTCATTTTCGCGATCGAGTCTTACGATGTTTTCAAGGCACATTGGGACTACTCCCGCTTGGCCACTTGCCGAACAAAAGCCGTCGTGAAAGTCTGCAAAGTTTTGTATCGTTGCTAGCACTTGTTGTAGACAATCAAAACAAGTAAATTCCCACGATTCATCTTCCGAGGAGCTGTTATCATCGTCCAATTCACCGCCCATCTCGTAGAAATCGTTGAAGCAATTCTGAGCGAACCTTTGCAACAGCTCTGCTCCTTCGATTTCCACCGCAAAGTCCACGATTCTGTTGTAGTCGGTGGCCACGTGTGACCCTGCTGAGGTATAGGTGCTGTAGCTTGTTGTGCCTAAGCTATCAACCGTCTCGCCCACCAACTTGGAATACAGATCTCGTCCTTTTGAATTGTTGTTAATAGTGTTTCGTAACACTTGCATGTTCTCAAACATTGTTTGAAAATCATCTGCTTGCTTTGGGTAGTTCATCTTGTATCTGGTAAGCGTGTCTGTGTGTGACACATCCCATTCAACGTTTCCTGGATATGAACTCTCCTTGTTTCTCTCGTGTTCCCTGTCGTGATTCAACCACTGTTCTTGCGACATCCTTGGTTGAGGAGTAATGTGTACTGGATATTCTTGATGGCTGGAAAATGGCGTCACGTCAGCTTGCGGCTCTACGATTATGAGTTTTTTCGATGCGCCAGAACCCATAGTGATGGTGCTCCCAGGTTCACTGATCGGCCATACGAACGATATGAACTGAGACCTCAACTGAATTGTCGCTCGTCGTTCGCAGTTTCTGTGATGCGAACTGGATAAGGTCAAATTATCAAAGACATCGCCTCGTGTTGAATAGGAAATCAGCGGAGACTGTCCCGCAAATGTTAAATTCCGGATAGAGGTAATTAAATGTGATATTTGTCGAGATTGCTGTCGTTTCGTCGCGTACTCGTGGTAACAAACCTTTTATTTCACGTTTCTAGGTGGAAACAAACAAATCAGTATGCAAATTTGTAGGCGCTTACCTAGTGACGTCAATGTGTTAACCCACGCATTTCTTTCTCGGTGGAGTGCGTGACGAGTCAAAAGAATGTCTGCGTACGAGGCTATGATGTCAATACTGCACACCTGCCACGCAGTCCTTGTTTGTAACGTAATTAACACTTTATCTGAAGCTTTTAATTTTTTTTCGGTAATGAATGAATTACGGTATATTTTGTTCTCAGTTGTGAGACACAATCAGTCTGAGAATGTTATTGTTCGTTCATTCTTTTTGTCGATGAAAGCCATTTGCTTTCAGTTTAAATGCATGTAGAGATATTCTATTGTGCGTGAAAAAAATGAGTAATTGATTAGTTAGAAAATGTCCGCTCGTACGTACAATCTGAAGAAAGAAAAAGGCGGTTGCTAGCTCAAAAAAACCGCTATCTTTCTCAGTCTGCTCATAAATGAGAAGAAAATAAATACAATATAACGAATACAACAAAATATAATTATAGTAACGTAGGTTTACCGTCATCTTATACAAGCGTACCTGCAATTACACGACAATTGTTTTATTCGTTATCTTTCGTTTCTTTCAAGTAACCAGGACCCTTTGGACAACTTCAGTCAAAAAATGAATTTATATTTTACCGGCGAATCTCGCGATAATCTTAAACCGTTTAGTTTGTTTCTCTTTGTCAAGACTATGGCACCGTCCACAGTACGCCGGAGGAATTTGAAACCTGAGGTTTATTTCTACTGTTAGGCCTGGCGTCCACACTAGTCCGTCACGAAAACGGAGAAAACGGAGGAATTTGAAACTGCCGGCTTTTCGTTTTCATGTGGACGGAAAACATTTTGAAAACGGAACTTTTCGAAATCGATGGCGTCACGATAACCATGTGATGACCCTGTCCGCCGTGGTGTGGACGGGGCCCATCTTGAAACCTGAATGTGAAACACATCGTTATATTGCAAATAGAAATTTGAAAAATTAGTCTTCTTGGTTCACGTTCTCCAGACAGCGCAATTTGGTGGCTGTTTTGCAGAGGACGGTAAAGAAATGTGTCAAGGATTACTCCGTAGCCACTGTACTGCTTTTTAATCCTTTTGTTTCGCGACCATGGCCGTTGTGGTTTTCTGAAAGTCGCTAATAGCTAGGAAGCACTCTTTTGTGTTCGTTTATGTTTTGTGGTTTTGTCTTAAATGCATATTCACGTCCTATTGATCGTGTGAGAAAAAAGTGATTAATAGGAAAATTTCCGCTCGTGCCGACGATCTGAGGAAAAAACCGCGGACGTCATTTGCACGAGTAGGGACCTTACGTAAAAACACACGGTAATGGCAACGAAACGTCGCCAACCAAAAGGCTTAATGACCAGAACAATGGATCTTTAAAGTACATCATGTCCCATTTTTTCATTTCGCAGNTCAAACATTTTTTGAAAATCTTCTGCTTGCTCCGGGTAGTTCATCTTGTATTTCCTAAGCGTGCCTGTGTGTGACACATTCCATTGAACGTCTTCCTGAGAAGAACTCTCCTCGCTTCTCTCGTTCTCCCTGCCGTGACTTAACCACTGTTCTTGGAGCATCTTTGGTTGAGTTGGATATTCTGGATGGCTGAAAAATGGCGTCACGTTAACTTGCGGCTGTACGATTTGGAGGTGTCTCGATCCGCCAGAACGCATAGTGATGGTGCTACCAGCATCACTGATCGACCACACGAACGGTATGACAAACTAAACTAACACTGCAGCACGACGTTGGCAGTAGCTTAAACTGGTGTGAGTACAGTGCGAGACGCTTTACCCTAAAAGGGAATGAGACGAGACGTAATTCGAGCAGACTGTTTTTATTTTACGCGAGAATAATTAAGCCCGACCATTTTTAAGGTATCAGTATACCCCAAAATTGACCATTTTTCGAAAAAAAAAAATTGTTCTTCGCTTTTTCAAATAGGTCTCATTCCGATCTTTCATTTAAAAACATTTCTACGGAAAAAGTTTCTTTGCATTAATTACCTGTTATTGATAGCTGTCAACGGATTGTCACGAGAAGTAAATATACAGGTAAGTGCCACTATGATCAAATTCTCGATATCCATTTTTTTACATTTTCTTACACAATAGGTCTTTCCTCATTAGATATCTTGCCAAATTTCAGTCTATAACTAATATTAGAAAGGACGTTTTTTGGACCTTTACTTCCGAGAATTTACGGCCGCCCTGAATTTTCCTTGTTTCAAGTTGGGCGGAGTCAAACAATTCACTATGTAAATTTTGTAGGCGCTGGTTCTTTTTGTGGACAAAAGAGCACACAGGCAGCCATCTGTGTTTGTTTATGTTTCATGACTTTCTTTCAAATGCGTATTGACGGTCAATTTTTCGATAACACACCAAGTTAAAGCACCGTCTGTAGATCAGGTATTCTACATGGCTGTAATTTCGACGTTACTTTGGGGCAGATTACGGAAATTCCGGTCACTGTTGGGGAAGACCACGACTGGTTGTGTTTCTATCTTTCGAGAAGAATTAATTCGTTAATAAAATATAAAATTAAGCAAAGGTTACATTCCTGTTAGGCTCCCAGGTAGACACTCTTACGGCCGGTGACGCGTTAAGAGCGTCTGCTTGGGAGGCTTCCTTCCTTTAGGATAATTGTGATTCTTAGAGTATAATGCGAAACAGGTAAGTAAACATTGACTTATTTTAAATTAATTTCCGTATAATGCTCCGGCATGCAGGATTCAGACTGCATAATTTAAAGCAGACTCCCTCAACGTGAAAAAGCACCGTCCAGACAATGGAATGCTTTCACAGTTAGCGCCTTATATCATCCGTCTTAACGTAATTATGTTATGAATATTGCAAAATTGTAATATGGATTACTGTTTTAGTAACGTTTTTCGTTAGGAAGCATGAAAAAAGTCATTTCTTCCATTAAAATCAATCAATCAATCAATCAATCAATCAATCAATAGACGAACAAACAAGCATATTTATGCAGGATGACCATTTCAGTTATAAAAACTGCTATCAAAATGGGTCCTGCGTAAAATAAATGAATAAATAAATAAATAGATAAATAAATAAATAAATAAATAAATAAATAGAGAATAATATAAAATATGCCAAAGTCTAAAAAACTGTATAAAAATCTAGAACTAGATTCATACACATTTATTAAAAAAAAAAACAAAAAACAATCACTAGAGATAGAACTAGATTCATATACAATTATTGAAAATATTTGCCCCTCTATAAAAAAATGTCGGAGCTGTTCACCAAAATAGACTTTGATCTTACAATATAACCTATTGTTTAAAATAGTCAAATTCTTAGAATAGAAAATTGTATAGAGAATGAAGATTGTAAAGTAATTTAAAGAATTCTCTATAAGGGCACTTAACCAATTTTTCCAACGGATATCTTCTGTACAGCATTAAAAATGAAATATCTGAAACCACAGTTTTAAACTTTTCTTTAAGAGGCTGGCAACAGTTTCCAGCACTTTTCCAACCGCTACTCTTTTATGGATGAATATTACGTCTGTTTATCAAGTGATACTATAATATTGGTATCACATAAATTCCCAGCCATTGGTGAAACAATAATGGTAATTTTTATTGCATAATTGGTTACCATAGTAATATTACAACGTGTTAGAAACACCCTTACTTTTAGCATTAACTGCTAATAACTCAAAAACGAGCTCGGTGACCCCAATTTTTTATTATCGAATTTTGATTTGCAGGATAAGATGCAACTTTTGGCAAAGTTTGTTTTAAAAAAATTTTGTGTAGGTGCTTCAGAGCCACCTTTAAATTTTCACCGAGCTCGTTTTTGAGTTATAACAGTTAAAGCTAAAAGTAAGGGTGCTTTGTATCACGAAAATGACAACAACGTGTTCACCAATGAATGGGCAGTCTTTTGATACCATGATTGTAGCATCAACTGATAAAAAGCGGTTATAATGACCCATCAAAATCTAAAGTCTTGGGAAGTCCTGGAAACTGTTGCAAGGCACCTTAAATCAAAATATGTCTTTCAAATTTATGTATTAATAGCTTTTTCAGCCAAACTAAGACACATTTAGCGTCATGGCAGCCCAAAAACTGCTTCAACTGAGTTAAAAACGGCATTTATTTTGTGACACTTTGTAGTCAAATGGTTAAGAGAAAACGAAAATATATTCTGCTGTCAAGCTCTGCTACAGGGAAAGCTCTAGATGGTATGTATGTGCACGGGCTTGTAGGCGCACGCTAATTACGCAAAAATCGTATACAGCAAGGATGTGAAATGCAATTCAGTGGAATCACCTTAAGACTAAATTGCAAGAGTGCACTGAGCATACTGGCCTTTTATAACCAATGTAACGAAATATAGTTTTAATAGTTCTGGTTATCATCAACCTATACAAGCCTAATTATAACTGCACAACGATTGTTTTGATCGTCAGCTTTCGTTGGTAAATTTTAGGGCCAGGTCAAACATCTAACTTCACCCGAGACGAACTAAATTGCCGATCCAAACGGGTGAAGCTGGACCGTTGGGTCAAACGTTGAACTTAATTCGAATTTAGATCGACCAACACGTTCTGTCCGTCTGCTTCAGACGAATAGAACATGTTGGGCGATCTTAATTCAGTGGGACGAACTCAGTTGAGTCAAACTTCGAACTTATCATGAGCTTAATTCGCTCAGTTTAGGT